AGGAGATTGTGCATACTTCTTCGAACCTTGGGCAGTGGTGCCACGGAATCTCGAATAAAGATCTGTACCAAATAACAGAAACCACATCACTGGGGGATTTTCAACAGTGGCAGCAATTAAAGTGAAGAGCATATGCAATTCGAAAAGAAAATAATGACAATCAAGATGTTAAAGTTTCACACAACTTGACACAGATGGTTTGGTTTATTTTGTTTTACGGCATATCAACCTCAATGGGTTTTTTATGCCGACAACATTTTTAGGATAGATTCGTATGAATGGAATATGTATTCCTTGGTTTAGATTGGTTTGGTTTATTTTGTTTTACGACATATCAACACCTCAATGGGTTATTTAATGCCGACAACATTTTTAGGATAGATTCGTATGAATAGAATATGTATTCTTTGGTTTAGATTGGTTTGGTTTATTTTGTTTTACGGCATGTCAACCTCAATGGGTTATTTAATGCCGACAACATTTTTAGGATAGATTCGTATGAATATGTATTTTTTGGTTTAGATTGGTTTGTTTTATTTTGTTTTACTGCATATCAACCTCAATGGGTTATTTAATGCCGACAACATTTTTAGGATAGATTCGTATGAATAGAATATGTATTCTTTGGTTTAGATTGGTTTGGTTTATTTTGTTTTACGTCATATCGACCTCAATGGGTTTTTAATGCCGACAACATTTTTAGGATAGATTCGTATGAATAGAATATGTATTCTTTGGTTTAGATTGGTTTGGTTTATTTTGTTTTACGGCATGTCAACCTCAATGGGTTATTTAATGCCGACAACATTTTTAGGATAGATTCGTATGAATAGAATATGTATTCTTTGGTTTAGAATGGTTTGGTTTATTTTGTTTAACGGCATATCAACCTCAATGGGTTATTTAATGCCGCCGACTTTTTTTTTTATTGCTGGTAATATTTTCTTTTGTCAAAAATCTGTTCCTGCTAATACTTTTCCTTCAAATTGTATTGCTGGTAATAATTTTTTTTTTAAAGTATTGCTGGTAATAGTTAACTATTTGCCTATAGTTGTAACACCAGCAGGTGCTACCACCACGGATCAGGGTGGATCTGGAAACACCAGAAATTAAGAGGTGGTTCCACGCTTCTCAAAACCTCCTAATCAGAGGCCTTGCTGCTGGATGTAGTTTATCGTCTTACCCAGGACGATTGAAACAAATGCTTAGGAAGGAAAGCTGATATTGGAAAGTGAAATAAAAGTAACCGGACCTGAGAGATGTTTCATCCTGAACATTTGTATAAATAAAAAGATTTTATAAAATTTAACCGTAGTTAGATGAATAAACGCACAAATTTTCTTCATAAGGAAAAGGCTAATATTACCATTTCTTGCGAAATGAACACAACAGACTTTTATTTTTGACGGGAACGCTCGCAAATTTTGAACTGTCTGACGTCATCCTTCAAATGGAATAAAACCTCAATAACTGAAAATGTTCTGAACCAATCAGTTCAGTTATGTGCCATGCATGATACACGCTTAGGCGATCATGTATCTTTCGATATATGACTGACAATGCAGATTTTTCCCGCAGTAGGTTGTCATTTCTTTCTGCAGTAGAGCAGTTACCATCGAAGGCTATAGAACCTGGCCTGTCCTGCTATTTACCCATAGCTGGGGAGAGAAGAAGAGGATTCATATTTTTCCCAAGGGTATTAGCACGTCAGTCAGTCAGTTATGCGATCATGTATATTTCGATACATGACAGACGAGGCAGATTTTTCCCGCAATAGGTTGCCATTTCTTTTTGCGGTAGACCAGTGCTACCCAAGGAAGCCGGTTTGTGTTGCTATTTGCCCATAGCTGGGGGAGAAGGAGAGGATTCATACCTTGTATTAGCACGTAAGTGAATGTAATGGATCCGACTGGAATTCGAACTCGGCTCTCTTATTCCTCAATCCGAGCCGCTATCGATTACTCCACCGTATTTGTCAAATTTAAACTTCCTTAGTAAACATTTAAGTAGATTTTATGTCATTTTAACGGGTAGTTTTGGAGATATTTGGAATTTACGAAAATAGTTTGACTGAAATTAGTATGTAGATTAAACTAATATTAACTTAAAACGTCTGAAATCTAATAAAATCTATTTTTCTTTTTGTCCATAATATCCGTTGAAACATGGGAAAGGATCTAACAACTGCTGAAAAACAAAATAGCAAAGTTATTGAGTGAGGGAATGTCTACATTGAAGATATCGAAGGATCTTTGCAGAGATCCTCAAACGATAAAGAAGGCTGTTGACAACTCGATGCAAAGGAAAAGAACTTGCTTGTTCGAGATGAACTTAAACTAAAGTGAGTTAATACGAAACAATCACTATTGACCAGCGCTCAGATCTTTGTCGACCAAACAATTATTTGACCATTCAAAATCGATGAAGGAGTTAAAATGAATAATGGTAACTATTGTGATTTTATGAACAAGATTTTCTTTGCATGATACAAGTCCCAGTCTCTCAGTTTCAAAGTGAAGTGTGTATTTATGCACGACAATGCCCCTTCTCGTTTATCTAAGCTTATCCTCGAATTCTTTGAGCATAGAAGATTTACAGGAGAGAAGATAACAGAATGGTCACCATTAAGTCTTGATCGGAATCTTACCGAAAATCTACGGTCGATTGTGAAGATGAATTATATGAACAATATAACGGCAAAGCAGACTTATGGGAAGCAATTAAAACTACCATGTCGGAAATTGAACCAACTGAAATAAAAAAAAAAATAACAAAATCAACAAATAATAGATTACTGTCTGTTATTGAGAAGAAAAATCATTATATTAAAATGCAAAGGATACGAAGATTTATCATGTCTGTTTGTTATTTGTTCCATTATAGATGTTGATCAATTTTTGATGCTTTTGTTACGTTTTTGTTTTCTTTCGTTTTACGGCATATCAACCTCAATGGGTTATTTCATGCCGACAACATTTTTTATTTTTGGTAATATTTTTTCTTCAAAAATGTATAGCTGGTAATATCTTTTTTTAAAAAAAATGTATTGCTGGTAATAACTGTTTTCTTTTTACACAGGGTTTCTGGTATTAAAACCTATTTTTACACTTGCATAGTGTTTTAACCCCAGTATAGGGGTTAACTATTTAACCATAGTTCGGACCCTAACAGGAGCTACCACCCTGGGTTAGTTGTTTGGTTGGTTGGTTTGGTTTGTTTTACAGCATATCAACGGCAATGGGTTATTTAATGACGACTTTTTTTATTACTGGTAATATTTTCTTTCAAAATAAACTATAGTTGGTAATATCTTTTTTTTCTAAAAATGTATTGCTTGTAATAATTTTATTTTACAAAGTTATTTTTGGTATGTATTAAAACCTATTTTTACAATTTCATAGTGTTTTGACCCCAGATTGTGTGTCAACTATTGCCCATAGCTGGGACCCTAACAGGTGCTACCACCCTGGGTCAGGGTGGACCTGGGAACACCAGTAATTAAGAGGTGGTTTCACGCTCCTCAAAACCTCCTGATCAGAGACCTTGCTGTTGGATGTAGTTTATCGCCATACCCAGGACAAGGATGTAGTTTATTGTCTTACCCAGGACGCGGATGAAGTTTATCATCATACCCAAGACGCGGATGTTTTTTATTGTCTTACCCAGAACGCGGATGTAGTTTATCGTCATACCCAGGACGCGGATGTCGTTTATCGTCATACCCAGGACAAGGATGTAGTTTATTTTTTTTACCCAGGACGCGGATGAAGTATATCATCATACCCAAGACGCGGATGTTTTTTATTGTCTTACCCAGGAAGCGGATGTAGTTTATCGTCTTACGCAGGACGCGGATGTAGTTTATCGTCGTACCCGGGACGCGGATGTAGTTTATCGTCATACCCAGGACAAGGATGTAGTTTATTGTTTTACCCAGGACGCGGATGAAGTTTATCATCATACCCAAGACGCGGATGTTTTTTATTGTCTTACCCAGGAGGCGGATGTAGTTTATCGTCTTACGCAGGACGCGGATGTAGTTTATCGTCTTACCCAGGACGCGGATGTAGTTTATCGTCGTACCCGGGATGCGGATGTAGTTTATCGTCGTACCCGGGACGCGTATGTGATTTATCGTAATACCCAGGACAAGGATGTAGTTTATTGTCTTACACAGGACAAGGATGTAGTTTATCATCACACCTAGGACGCGGATGAAGTTTATCATCATACACAGAACGTGGATGTAGTTTATTGTCTTACCCAGGACGCAGATGTAGTTTATCGTTGTACCCGGGATGCGGATGTAGTTTATTGTCTTACCCAGGACGCGGATGTAGTTTATCATCATACCCAGGACAAGGATGTAGTTTATTGTCTTACCCAGGACACCGATGTAGTTTATCATCATACC